ATTTTGGGTCATTAAATAAAAATAGAAAACACAATGCAACAAAAAAGAAAGAAAGAAAGAAAACAATACACGGAACTGTGGGGTTATTCCAACCCCATAATTTGTTATTCCCACTCCATGATCTATTTTAATTATTTAGATAGACCAAAATACCTCTAGTTATATTTATTACAAATGATGGTATTAAATGTTGGTTCTATATTTACATCTAGAAAATATAGATAAAAGTAGAAATTCTTCTTTTTGTATCTAGAACAATCAGATTTTACCTTTTGTTTTTATTATCACCTGTCAACTAATTTCATTTCTTGGAAAAAAAATTTCTTTACAACATATTTTTTCCCTTCTATATATTATCCGCATATAAAATATTTATTACACAACATGCTATCCACCAATAAAATATTTTTTACAGAAAATTTAATAGAGTACTTAAAATTTTAAGAACTTCAGTTTTTATTTAATCTTTTTTTTTCTTTGAATTGATTTTTTTTCTAGTAATTAGAAAAAAAAACATTCTAATAACATTTTGATTATGGAAAAAAAATATATACTATCAATATAATTTTATAAAAAACGTGGAGTGGTGGGAATAACAAATCGTCTTTTTTATAAAATAAAAATCTAAAGCATTTCTTACTTTTCTCTACTCAAATTTTCCAGGCAATCAAACAGAATATTTATTCAAGAACTCAAAAATAACGCCAATATTACAATAAACATAGAAATGTGAACAAAAATAAATAAATTCCAAAATAAAGAAAGCTTCTCTCATAAGCAACATAAATAACAAAAACATTCAAAAAATAAAAAAATAATTAAATATTTTTCTTTTCGCTTTCTCAGCAACCAAACACAAAACAACGATCGCACAGAAGCAATCCGAGTAACAAAAAAATAATAAAAATAAAATGCGAGAGAAAAGAGCGAACCGTTGGGGTTGTTAATAAGTTTCTTTCCTTGAGAAGCCATAGCGCGTCGTCGTCGTTTCGGTAATCAAAACGAGGACTTTTAGTGCAGCAAGCAGTGCTGAACGACGAATGTATAGCTTCAGAGGGGGGAGGGAAAGAGAGAGGGGAAGGGGGGTTTTTATTATTATTTTTAATAATGGGATGTTTTACTTGGGTGGATTATGGAAGACTTTATTTGCTTATATATTTATGTGGTGCTGCTGACGTGTTGTTGTTGCTTGTAACGACAGGTAATATTTTTCTGAATGACGAATTTGACCTTATCTTTCTTGCGAAGATTTCCACTTTGGTCGCCTCGTGATGGGTAAGTCAATTTGAATTTGGGGCCAGAAAAGGAAAATTAAATCTGGCCACGTTGAAGAAAGAATAAATTTCATTTATATAAAATAAAAAAATATAGATAAATTCACATAACCTCTTCCTGAACACTTACAAAATAATTAAAAATAACTATTATTAAAAAAAAGTCAAATAAAAAGGACATTAATTTAAATGTAAACTTAAAAATAATTTAAAAGCTTGAATTTAAAAAAGAAAGGAAAAGTTCCAGCGTTGTTAGGCCTAATAACCAACATAAAAACATCTAAACCAATTGAAAATGGCCCTCAAGTGGGGCTCTTATTTAAAACTAAGAAGAAATGTTGTTGTTCACAGCGAAACTCTTTTGAATAAAAAAAAAAAAACGACATGTCATTTGATTTCTTAATATTTTAGATATTATAGTGGTTAAAAAATCCAAACTCATGGTTATTTTTATTTAGAACCTATTTGTCAGTTTATTTTTTACCCATAATATTAAAAAAATCTTAAACATCTTGATGAATTCATTAATAACTTTAAACAATCTAAAAAATTGCACAAAATATAAAATCAACTTGGATTTATAAATATTCTTATCTGGATTTTGAAATAATTTCAAGATAATAAAACACTTAAAAAGAACTCTCCTTCTAAATAAAAATCGTTGACATGAAGATCGATTATTTTGCTAGCTAGAATCAATGTCAATGTTAATTTTCTATCTCTAATAATAAATCAATCAATGGCTTTAAAAAAATCTTAAATACCTTGATAAATCCATTAATGGCTTTAAATAACCTAAAAATTGCACAAAAATTGAAATCGACTTAGAACTAGAAATATTCTTAAACTTGTATCTGATTTTTTAGATAGTTTTTAAGGTGAAAGAACACTTTAAAAAAAACTCTCCTGTCAAACAAAAACTGTTGACTTCAAGATCAATTATATTGATAGCTAGAGAATCAATGTCGATGTTAATTTTCTATCTCTATCATTAAATCCATCAAAGACTTTAAAAAAATTCTAAACACTTTGATAAATCCATCAATGATTTTAAATAATCTAAAAAATCACATGAAAACCTCAAAATTAACTTGGAACTATAAATATTATCAAGCTTGTTTCTAGTTTTCTAGAGACTTTTAAGGTTAAAAAACACTTTAAAAAAACTCTCCCACAAAATAAAAATTGTTGGCATCAAGACCAATTATTTTAATAGCCAAAAATCAATGATAAAGCTGAATTATTTTCTATCTCTATTATTAAAATTTAATAATCTTTATCCTCTCTCAAATCAACAAAAAATAATAATAATAAAAATAAAGTATTATACTAAAATATAACTGTATAAAAAATTAAGAGACTAAATGGATTAATTTAAAAAATTTAAGGATTAAATTAAATTTATAGCACACAACCCATTTTCAATGACTTTTCCACATCGTCCTTCTTTTTTTAGTATTTTTCTTGGGCAAAAAATTTAAATTCATTATCCTTTGATTTGATTTGGCTTTAAAAGAATTGCACATAAAACAATTCTAGAAAAATTCTGAACAATTAGTTCGCAATGAAATATAAAGGCATAAACAATGTTTTGCCCATGTCGTTAAGGGTTTTGCAATTTTTTTTATTTTACTTGTTGTGTTTTTCAAGAAATAAAAAATATAAATAAAAAATTAATATAAAAAAATAGAAATAAAATATTACTTTCAAATAAAATCATGTCATTTTGAGTTTTTTTTATATACTATTATCATATGTATAAAATTATAAAAATTATTTGGGTATGGGTGTGTTATGTGAATATTAGTGTGTGTGTATTATACTAGATTAAAAAAATATAAATTTTTTCTCTATATATATGTATATAATGCTAAATAATAAATAATAATAAGACAATAAATATTTAAAATTCAACAAAGAGGATATGAATATGGTAAGAACCTATGGTAAACTTAAAAAAAATTATTTACAAGATATTAAAGAATCCATAGTTAAAAGAACTCGTTTTTGCCTTACAGCTGCAAATACTTCGATTAATAAATAGAGAAAAGGCAAGAAGGCTAATATTATAAGTAATTTTTATAGCAAATAAAATAATTTGGTCTTGACCAATAACCATAGACGGGAATACCAACCGCTTTAAAGTCAACAGTCTTCCACCGTTGGATCAAACAAAATCAAGTTCTTAGCCCGGAGCTGGCAACCCGAATCATGCGGGTCAGGGTAATGCATCGCTTTCTTAATTGGGCTAAACTCAAATCAACTCCTACAATATGATTTGAATATTCAAATCAATCTCCAACTTACATAATTTGTAATTTTACCATCCTTTTTCCTATTAATCAAGTTCCCTATATACATTATTATTATTATTTATATGTTCTATTTTTGAACGTACACAGTGAGAGATCAATTCTATTCCGAGCAGCAAGATTTTGTTGATATTAAAAGTATATCTTAAAGTTTATTTTACCGTATAAAATAAAGTTTATTGATAAATATTTATGCAAGTTGAATTATTCAACTCATTTATATTTTCTTTTTCTTTTTTCTTATATTGTTGTTGCATAATAATTTTGCTTTTGCTGTGATGGATTTTATTAGAAAAGAAATTAATGTATTATCCTGGTCTTAACACTTGTGCTTTTTTTATTGCATTTATAAATCAAAATTTATAAATATATTATATTGTTTTTAAGAAAAGCCTATAATAAATAGATGTCTAAATCTATATATAAAAAAACTCAAAGACAAATATATTTCCAATACAAATATAATATAAAAAAATACAGTATGTATATTAATTATTTATTCAAACTTGCAATATATACAGAATCAAAGTTATAACATGCATGCTAATAATAAAAATAACAATACTTAAATTAAAAATAAATAAATATAAAAGTTACTTGTTGAATCACTTTAAAACATGAAATTATTGTTATTATTAATGATGAATTTTTTATCCTCAAAACTTTTTTTCTCTTTATTTATACAATTAGAATGTTTACAGTATGCTTCTTACGATTTTAATAACTCTATCTTAATTTAAATGTACTTCTAAATAAAATCTCTAAACTAAAATAAATGAACATAGTTATTTTTCAACAAAGTATCAATCTAAATTTTAGATCTAAAAAATTAAATCATAAAAGAGAATAAAAACACAAAAAAAAAATATGAGAAAAAATATAAAAAATTCAAGTTAGAAACTCTTTATTAACCCTATTTTTATAATAAATTTTAAAAACTAAAATATTAAAAAATTAATTTTTAATATTATCAACCTTTGACTAATCACCATAAATCAATAATTAAATTTTAAAAAATCAAGAAATTTTTTTTAGAGTAATTTCTTATTTACCCATAATTTGATTAAATCATGGTAATTAAACAAATTTTTAAGTGCATTTTGATATTTATTTTTTTACATATATATATATATTTTATAATTTGATTGAAATTTTATTTTTATATTTTTATATTTAAAATTAAAATGATGCTCCGTCATTCAAACTAAGTTTATTATATATATATATATATCAAAGCGGTGCTTTTAAGAGAGAATGATTCTTAGTAAATAGTAACCTCTCTTTGAATAAAGATGACAGTGGAAAGCAAGCTCATTTAATGGAATAATTGATAGTTTAGGAACAAATCAACACTCTTTGGATATAATGAAGGACTACTTTAATACTTATTCATATTTAATGAATAATTAACGACGATAACTGGCGACGTCAATGATCGTACACAGCAAGCTGGCAACTAATCTCGGACATTAGTATCGGGAGAGAGAGTAATTAGCGTAAGCAGTAGTTCTCTCTGTATACAGACACAAGCAGCCAAAACTAAAACCCAAAAAAGTCTCGTTTTCTTTGTAGAAGGACCATGTCTGAGCAGCTAACGGAGGAACAGATCGCCGAGTTCAAGGAGGCTTTCAGTCTCTTTGACAAAGATGGGGATGGTATTGTTGTTTTCTCTACACTGTTTTGTTTCGTTTTAGTCAAGTTAAGATCTACATAGGTTTTTCTTGTTCTTGTTTTGCTACTGACTAATTATGCGATGTAGTAGGAGAAGTGTGATGTGGGTTTTGTTCATGCATTTGATTTGTTGAAGGTTGATGAAATCAGTTGTTATCATTGCCATGTTGATGGTTTATTTATAATCTTGCATGACTAATTGTACAAACTTTCTCAGTTTTTATTTTTGTTTTTCGGTGATTTTGGTAATGGATTTAGGTAAGAGGAGCCATTTAGATTATTAGGTAGCTATGTAGGATGACAGACTCCTGTTATTATTTAGCTTTTGTATGATGTATAGTTTTTTTTTTTGTTTTTTTTTAAGGTTGCATCACCACCAAAGAGTTGGGAACAGTAATGAGGTCTCTTGGACAGAACCCCACTGAAGCTGAGTTGCAGGACATGATCAGTGAAGTTGATGCTGATCAGAATGGTACTATTGATTTCCCCGAGTTCTTGAACTTGATGGCAAGGAAAATGAAGGTGAGGTTCCCAGAATTATTATTTGTATTCTAGGGGCACAATTAGTTAGTTTTGTTCATGAATGGTTGTCTCCAAAAGTTTCCAATACCATGTTAGAATTATCATGTTCTAATATTTGGATGCCTGTTAATCATTGTTCTGTACACAGAACTCTAATTCAGAAGCAGTGGATTGTCAGAAACTATAGATATCGCAGTATGCTCTTTATCGGTATTGCGTATCCTATAATATGGCATGTAATTGATTCAGCGTTTTCCATTGTTTTGCTGGGTCTTACTTCTTTGATTGTTGTTGTTTTGCCATGCTAGCAAGCTTTTATACATGTTGGCTTTCTTTTGTTCTCTAACAATCCAACTGGCATGATTCTTACCTTTGAGGTTTTCATTTGGAGGGTTTTATTTTGTGGAGAATGATTTCCAGAGTTAAGAAGCTTCCAGTTTCCTGTTAACTTGTATATTTTGCTAACCTCCTTTTTGTTGAATTTTAACTTTTTGGGTGAAGGATACTGACTCTGAGGAGGAACTTAAAGAAGCTTTCAAGGTATTCGACAAGGATCAGAATGGCTTTATTTCTGCTGCAGAGGTAAACACCATATATCTTTGATGCTATCTACTTGATTTGTAACTTCATATAGTCACTAAAGCTATTACAAACGTTGTCTATCCGCTATTGGTATTTGCTGCTCTAGGATATAGTTTTCTCCGCATTGATGTTTGCTTGACATGTGCAGCTACGACATGTGATGACAAATCTTGGGGAGAAGTTGACGGATGAAGAAGTGGAAGAGATGATCAGAGAAGCAGATGTAGATGGTGATGGTCAGGTGAATTACGAGGAGTTTGTGAGGATGATGTTGGCCAAGTGATGGAAGGCATTTGGTGGATTAGGATTAGTGGTAACATTTTGTGTTTGAATGGGATGATACATGCCTTTCTTCAATTTCTGCTCCAGTCGTTTGACTGTGATATTCTACTGTTCGGCGTTTTGACAATGCAATATATTAGTTTCATGCTAGTATGCCTAGTCATATGAAAATAATTCTATGTGGGAATGGATGTTGGTTTATATCACATGATAGATTCATAACGTTATGTGTATGTGTAGTGTGTTGTGCTCTTGTGACTTCTCTAGTTGTTTCCGCCCGGATGTTAGAATAGAAAATATGTGATCCCTTTTTAGGCAGGGCGTCAGTTGAGCTGTCAGAGTTGATCATCGAAGTTAGCAATGAATGCATAGAGGACCGTACTCTGAAAATGATATCTTTTAGGTGCGCGGAGAAATCCTGTTTATAAAGAGCTCAACTCTAATGTCTTTAATTACCCTTTTGAAAATGATTTGTTTTGCTTTTTAAAATCTGCAACCAAATTTTCATAGCTTGCCACGACCTGCAGGATATTTCTTTGGCTGCTTTCCCCGTGGATATGCACTAGGATATCGTCTGTGGGCATTGATTTTCTCTGGGACTCAACTGTATGTAGTTATGATCCTCACGTCGCACTAGGACTCAGATTACAGTAGTGATCCAGTTGGATCCCTCCATTTGAGGTCCAGACCATGATCTTTATCGAGCTTGTCAAAGTGTAAGACAGCATTACCAAGTACTTGTCCCTGTCTTTGGTGCAAGCTGTGAGCCTGGTTGACTCAGGCTTCAGCTCTGTTTCATCTGTTGCTGTGTGCAAGTTCCTAAGCATGAACAGTCCTTTTCTGTTATGCATCTACCCTCGGTCCAAAAATTCTACACAACTGTAAGTGCGACAGATCTGCACCAAGGATATTTAGAAGTAAAACATGTCAATTCCAACTTGTTTTGGGATGAAACTCCCAATAAGAATCCGACTCCATTCGAGTGCCATAGAGTGGCAACAAGGGGGAAAAAATGAAAGAAAAAGAGGTCCTGAACATTAAGAAGAGAAACCAGCTAGTCTAATACTTTAGGGTTTTGATATAACAAATGGAGACAAAAAGGGAAGGGAAGGAGGAGGTCAGGGGAAAAAGAAAATGATAAACAGTGGCAGAAAATCAAGCTATCATGCACAATTATCCTTTATTCCTAAATCCCCACCCCAAACTTTCTAGAATTTAAAACTGGGTCCTTAAAATCAAAATTACAAATATCTACCACCACCACATTTGATGAATTTAGGTTGAAACTCTTGAATTTGCTCAGATGAAAGTGAAATATATATGAGAGAACTCTTACCAACAATTCAGATCACGTCAAAATCATGGGAGAGACATTTAGATCACATCAAATTTACCATAATTTTGAGACAATTAATTAATTAATTACCCCATCTTGATTATATGTATACAATACATATATGCATGCATATTATTAATTAACGAAGGATTTGCTATATTAAGAAAACAAAATTTGCTTTCAAGATCCCATTTTCTCATTTTGTTGGCAGCCTAGTTTAATTTGTCAATATAGTGATTTTTTTCTGAAATTCCATGGCATTTTTTTTTTCATATTTATAATAAGATTAAAATGAAAAAAGAAAGAAAGGAAGAAAGAAAGGAGAGGGGATAAGATAAGGTCTTTTATCTAGAGCAGATTGAAGCAAGGATAAATTACAACCAAACATGAATAAAGACAGGAAAAGAAAATGACCCAAGAAAAAAAATACTCTCCTCTCCCCCTCTCTCTTACTGGGTGGTAAGAGAAGATGCATTGCCAGGAGAAGCAGAAGTAGTAGAAGAATTCTTATGATTATGCATCCAAACTTTAAAAACCTGTCTGGTAACCCCAATTCCTTCACAAAACCTCTCTACTTCATCTTCTTCATCTTTCCTTTGCAACTTCCACCCCAACTTCTCAGCAAACTCCGTCATCTTCTCCTTCTGTTCAGCTGTAAACTTTGTCCTAAACCTCTTCTTTCCACTCCTTTCACCTGACTCCACCACCATCATTGGAGGCCTGGAATTCCTCTCATTATTCCCTTCTGCATAGTCTATCATTTCCATCACTACTGTCTCTGAAGATGGTGAGTGCATAATGTGATCCCTTCTGTTGCTGTACGATACTTTGCGATGGAAGTTGCGGTGGCAACCACAGGCTGCACATTGGAGGGTGGAAAGTGAGGTGTCATCAAGGGTGAACTCACCACATCCATCTCTGGCATAGCTCCCAAGACTGGCTGCATGGTTTCTTAGGCATTCTTTGTATAGATCATTTGTGCTATCACTTTCCATCGTGTTTCTGTCTCTCTCTATTTTCTTTCTTTCTTTCTTTTTAATTTGCCTGTAAATTTGGAGAGTGTAGATGTACAGTTTTGATGTACTCTAGTATAGTGTATATAATGGAACATGGGAAGGGGGGTTTGGATTCATATGACGGTCCTACATGGTTGTTATTGTATTTTCATTAATATTTAATGCTACATATGTTATATACAGTATGCTTTATTGCTCATCTTTTCTCAAACTTGCAAATGGCAATTTTTTTTTATTTGATGTGAAAATAATGCTTTGATCATAACTTTCTTTCTTGTTTTTTGTTTATCATCAAAGTTTACATACCTTAACTTCTCAAATATTTTATTCACACGGTACTTATTGGATATATTTGTTAATTAATTGATGTAGAAGACACCTAATTTAAAAGAATATTTAGTTTGAATATTATATTAAGCTTTAAATTGCAGAGAAACTTATTGTGATTGTGCTTGAATATTTAGTCATCTCGTATAATATCAACAGATTTAAGTATTTTTCTTCCGTATCCAAACTGAAAAGATTTGTCCTCTTGTTGTAATATTTAACCAAAATGAAGGGCTTCATTGCCCCAATAAATTAAAATATAAAACAAGCATAGCTAAAGGAATAGGAGCCCCCCTCTATAGTATGGGTTAGTCCAATAATTGACGTCGGGAATGCAGAAGCAAAAGAAAAGTCTTCTTGACTTTTGTAGAGGTTTTCCACAAAAATATCCAATTTATTATTTATTAAAATAGCATCCACACTGCTCGTCCAATTCATTCCTTCTTTTTTTTAGGGATTCATACAATATAATTTTGAAGCATTTGAATGTATCAAAGTTAAAATGCATATAAAGATTGAAAGAAGTAAAAATAATTTAATGGTCAGAAGAAGAGATGAGATGACATAAAAGGCTAAAAGAGAAAGAAAATAAAAAAATAAACACCAAAAACACATGAAGCTCAATATAAACGTATAACCATTAATTTTTTTTTAATTACATAAGTTCATATAAATTATAGAAAGCAATTTTTAAAGTTGATGACGAGAGTTACACACACGTGATTTAAAGATAATGACATGCTTATTTATTAATGTTTGTAATACATGTGCCAAATATAAAAAAAAACATTTACATTTGTTGGCGCCTATCCAATTATAAAAAAATATCAATTGTTATTTATATTACATACATGAGACATATAAAAAATTAAAAGTTTATTGATAGTTCGTGGCCATGCATTTTTCAAGTCACACATGTGCAACTTATACATAAGTTTTTAATTTTATTATTTTGGATTTATTTTTTTAGTTATAATTGTGCTCTTAAAAAAAAACCTAAAGTTTCATATTTCAATTATTTACATTTGCTACTTTAGCACTAAATATGATGCACTTCATGTACAACAACATCAACCACGCAAGCTACTTGATGCGTAGCATCATTTATTAGGTAATTAGAATTAGTTTTAGTAGTTTAACCTAATTACTGGACAAAGCTGTAGTGGTTAATGTGGTTTAAACCTTGTTATCATCTTTATTATTAAACGTTCAAATTAACTCGAGATTTATTGAAGAGAATACATAGTACCATTGATGTTAATTGAGCTTCGACAATTCATATTATTATTAATAAATATATAATAAGGAGGATTATATATACCTGAGAAAGCTATTTATATTATACAATTTAAGTCCAAATTGCTCATATTGTACCAAAAAAGGAAAATGAAAGAGAAAAACAACTCCTATACAAGATCTATAAACCTCATTTGCAACCATTGCTTAAACACACGAAAGGAAACTCTAACAAGTAATGCTTGTATATAGAATTATGTTCACTTCTTTGTAGTTTATGATAGCATAGGCTAGACTTTCAAGGCCTAGATTATGATAATGGTGTGAGCATGATTATTGTGAAGTTAGCGAGAGAAGCTGGTGAGGAGGGTCATAACTTACAGGAACTGCCTGCTGCTGCTGCTGCTGCTGCCTGCTGATGTGGCGCACTTGATGTGTTAGAATCTTGTCGTTTTGGCTTTAGAGGTTGCTTTGCTTCCCTTTCAGCACTCAATGTCCTGTCATTGTTCAATGGCTCACATGTATAACACAACGCTACAAGCTGTAGCTAGCAGTACATTAATTAATTGGGCCCCAAAACAAGAAGGAACAGAGAGACATAAAAGAGAGGAGCCCTATTCATGATAATAACTTAATAAGACGGAAGGGCAAGAAGAATGAAATCATAAAAGACTCTTATTTTGATGCCATGCATCATATTTATTATATCAACCAGATTGGATATATTAAAAAAAAAAGATTTTGGCTAGGTTGACTTTTAACAAATCAATGATAATTATTGTGATTTTATTGCCATTTTCATCACTTTTATTTATATTTTGAAAGCTAGATTATGGATAGTTTCTACTATATTCATGCTATATTTATTATTTAAAAGGAAAAATATTTAAATGCCTCTGCTCTATTTATCAAATTTTGAGTATTATATATATATATATGAAATTAAATTTGGATTATATTTGATAATAACAATTAATAAATATAATAACTATACAAAAAAGCTCACCCATTGGAAGTTTGTGTTGGTATCATTCTTCGGATTCCTAAAAGTATCTCATGGTATCTTAGATAAATAATATGTCCAGACTTGAATAGCTGCATACAGTATATTTTTAGGGTTGCCTTTTGTTCATGTAAAAACCATCTTGTCAATTCAATATGGCTCCTGCCAGGGTGAATGATGATGATAAGCATCATGTATTTGTGTTTTATGTCCTTGATTGTTGCTAAGAGAATATGCAGAGAAAGGAAAAGATAAAACAAAAAGGGTAAATATGAAAAAAAGATGGCTTTATATGATGCGCGTGCTTAATGTCAC